TCGGTCTCATATCAATCAAGCCACCTCGTGGCGTACATATCTCAGGCCCTCGGCCTCATAATCAGTATCAAATGTTCCCTCACAACATAGGCCCTCGGCCTTACTTAGTCAAAATCCTCACAAGCCACTCGGGCAATAGTAAAACATGATTCTCAGCCCAAAAATATCATTTAAAAGATCATGTAAGTGTTAAAACAGAGTAAACATGGCTGAGTACGAAAAACAGTAAAATATAACATGACTGAGTTCAAATATAAAGTCAAAACAGTGAGAAAATACCAGTAAAAATCCCCGAAGGGTTCAAATAGTTGGCACAAGGCCTAACTATGGCATTCAGCCCAGGTCATGATGATAACAAATAGATTTCAGTCAAATACGCGGTAAAATAGTCATCCGGGTCGGACTAAGTCTCAATCCCCAATAGTGCACGACCCCACGCTCGTCATCAAGCATGTGCCTCACCTCAATATAGCACTATGATGTGCAATCCGGGGTTTCAAACCCTCAAAACATCATTTACAATCATTACTCACCTACCGGTCAAATCTCTAGCTCGCGACGCCTTTACCCCTCGAATCGGCCTCCAATCACATCGAATCTATTCAAAATCAGAACGAGGACATCAAAATATGCTAAGGGAATGAAGCCCAAGCAAAAATAATCAAAATATGACAAATCCCGAAATTACCAAAACCCGACCCTCAAGCCCACGTCTTGGAATTCGATAATTTTTACATCAATAGATTCCTTATCTCTCCACGAGTTCATACATATCAAAAGTTCTGAAATTCGACCTTAAATGGTCCTTCGAATCCTCAATCAAAGGTCTAAATTTCCAAGCCCTAGTTCTTCAATTTTTAACTTAATTTTCATGATTATTTAGGTGGAATTCACATTAGAATCGAGTTTTAAGTCCAGAATCTTACCTCCAAGTGATTCCCCTTGAATCCCTCTTCAATCCCCTTCAAAAAGCTCTAAAAACGACCAACAATGGAAGAAATAAACCCCACATTCGCGGACAAGACGACCTTTTAAACCTTCTGCCCAGGTCTTAATTTCCTTCTTCGCGAACGCGGTCAACGCCTCGCGTTCGCGAAGCACAAAAATTCTGTTGACCAAAACTCTTCTTCGCGAACGCGACCTCACCATCTCGAACGCGATGCCTCAGCTTCACCAACCTACGCGAACACGACCAAGCCTCTCGCGAACGCAATGCTTACCATTTCGGCCCTTCGCGAACGCAGGACTCCCTTTCGCGAACGCGAAGGCCAAACCTGACGCCTCCCTTTTAGACCCTTCGCGAACGCGAGGGTCCACTCGCGAACGCGAAGACCAAAACGCCTGCACCAGCTGAAACCAAATTCTGCAATTTTCTTAACTTAAAAATGATCCGTTCAACTCCTCGAAACTCACCCGAGACCCCCAAGACCTCAACCAAAGGCACCAACATATCCTAAAATCTTATTCAAACTTGTACAAATCTTCAAAACACCTCAAACAACATCAAATCAACCAAAACACATCAGATTCAAGCCTAAGTTTCCAAAATCTTCTAAATTACGCTTTTGATAAAAAACCCAACCAAACCACGTCCGAATGACCTGAAATTTTGCACACACATCCCAAATGACACGACGAAACTACTGCAACTCTCAGAATATCATTCCGACCCCTATATCAAAATCTCGCCTACCCACCGAAAATCACCACAATATCAACTTCACCAATTCAAGCCTAGATCTACTCCAAACCTCCAAAACTCATTTCGATTGCGCTCCTAAGTCCCAAATTACCTCCCAAAGCTATATGAACCATCAGAACTCACATCCGAGCCCTCTAACACATAAGTCAACATCCGATTGACTTTTCCAACTTAAGCTTCCTCAAAAGAGACTAAGTGTCTCAAACTTTACCAAAATCATTCCGGATTCGATCTGACCAATTCGATACCACATAACACAGATAAACAAAGCATGATGAAGCAGAAATGGAAAAAACGAAGCTGTAAATCATGAGACGACTGGCCGGGTCGTCACATTATCCTTCTTCTCTCATAGAATCGAACCATCTCTTTTTTCATTTTTCATGAGAGAACTTTGAAGTCTTATATGCTGAATCGAATTAATTATCTCAAATAATAAAAACTACTCCTATGATTCAAACTTAGAATTGCATTTCTAAGGAAATACTCTGCAATTTTTAATCATTGTCAAAGTAAAGTACACATAAAAATTCAAACCTAGAATCCCATATTATCACAAAAGAAATAGGTCTTCAAATCAAAACTAAAGATATTATTCAACGATGGACCCAAGAGCAATACCACAATAAAAAGATAAATATGAAGTTGAGTGTGTAGTAGTGCACACCAGTGAGATGCCATATTAATCAGCTACAAAGAATCACTAATTCTCCCACCAAAATGTATTAAACCCATCATTTTTTTTCTCTTCACAAATTCAGCAATAAAGAAATCTTCAATAATTCTTCTTTTCGAATCTTGATATTATCCTATGTATAAGTAATGCATAGAAAATAATGTCATTAGTAATGCCAAGGCTATTAATGCATGCATTAGTATGGTTAAAGATATAATTGTCCTTAAAGTCCCTTAAAGTTAGAGAATATGGAGGACATTTTTGTAAACAACTATTTTTCTTAAAAATTATGCAATGCATTATACTTTTAATACACCACACCAAACAGTAGATAAGAAATAATATATCTGCATAACTAATGCTTGCATTACTAACCCATGCATTATTAATACATACTTTACTAATACACCTTATCCCGCACTATTCTTATACACCCTACCAAATGACCCCTTTGTGGCGTAAACTTATCCTTCACAAGTAGTTGCCGTCGGCGTAACATTATCCATAGCAAGTTATTACCCTGCCAGCAATATAAGTAAGATATGCATATACACTTTTTAATTAAGTGACATGTATTTTGTTATGTTAAATCCATACATTTTGTCAAATCAAATGTTACCACACATTTTGTCAAAAGTAATAGGCCAAATACATGGACATCCCATTAAATTTGGCCCAATTTTTTATTTTGACACTTTAACTCAGCCTAGTTCCATTTTGACCCTCCAACCTCATTTCTTTTGTTCCACTTTGACACAAAAGCTGACTAAATTCCATATGTGATTTGCCTCACCCTTGTAGGCGCGTGAGAGCCATTTTTTAAGCCAAATTTCATACTCCCAATGTAGAGACAGATCCAGAATTTAAATCCTATGGATTCAATTTTAATGTTTTTAACATTGAACCCATTATATTTTTTAAAGTTATGGGTTTATATCTATTTTTTTTATAATTTTAATGAATTTTTACATACAAATTTTTACTCCGCGTCGAAAGTTATGGGTTCAGTTGAACCCGTAGTTATTACTGAAAATATATATAAAAAAATATTTTTTCCACGGGAGGGGCAGAAAAAATGAAAAAATAATAATTTGAAATTACAAAAAAAAAATCTGCGGGGGGTGGGGGTAGCAGCTGGGTATTTGTCCGTGCTGCATTTTTACTTGGGATAAAAGTTTTTGTGTCAAAGTGGAACAAAAGAACCCATTATATTTTTAAATGTTATGGGTTTATATCTATTTTTTTTTACAATTTTAATAAATTTTTACTCCGCGACGAAAGTTATGGGTTCAGTTGAACCCGTAGTTATTACTGAAAATATATAAAAAAAATTATTTTTTCCCCGGGATGTGAGCAGAAAAAACGGAAAAAATAATAATTTGAAATTAAAAAAAAAAGTAAATTTTTTTTTTGGGGGG